TACTTAACAAATAGCAATTTCTCATTCTAAGATTCCCTAGCTCGTCGTCAAATGTCAGAGAACTAAATTAAAATGTCTGTCCTTTATACTGTATTCTACAAATTCCAGGAAAAGGCTTAAAATGGTATTCGGGCTCCTGTAACCCTAGCAGGCGTAGGAAGAGCTTACTGCAAATTTAGACTTAATAAAAGTTTTTTGCTCTAGATGATTGTCTTCCTGGTGGGAAATACCTCTTGAAAACGATGGAAATGCCATTTGCGAGACTCTAGATTTCAAAATTTTCTCCGCGGGTGGGGTGGGCTACTATTTTTTATCAGCAATCTCAACTGACTAATCATCAATAGTACTGTTCTTTTCAAGAAGTGACACCTGTTAGAATTTCTCTGAGGAAAGGCAATTTTTGGCAATGTCAAAAGGTTAAACTTATTTTGCTTCCGGGGGCTTTGCCCCCTGGACCCCCAGCGGGGCTCTGCCCCTGTACCCCGCCTGGGGCCTCGTCAACCCCCAAATACCTCACCTGTGGAGAGGCTTCCGGCCCCCATAGCTGTCTACTTTCAAAATATCTCCACCTACTTCAAATCGTATTGACAGCCCTGATTTACAGAGATTTCCAGTGAGGTAAAGTGGGGCAAAGATACTGGAAGGCAGCTTGAAAACCCTCCTTATCACATATGTCCAAGCTCTGACACCCAACAATTAAGATCCCCTTGGAAATTCTCCAGAATTCATTGAAGCTTATGCCATCTTTGACTCTCTTTCTCTTCCCTTAAGTAAAAACAGCTTTTAAGAATAGGGTGATGAAGAAGTGAAGATTATTGATGGTCAGGTTTTCCAGAAATGAAGACAAGACAAGACAGTTGCTTTGCCCATGGTCCAAAGATGGATATTTTCTTACCAAAAGGAAACTCCAAGCACCAGCTGAACATCATAACAGTACCCCTTCATGTCCCTCACGCTCACGACAAAGGAATTTTCCATCCTTCAATCTTTGACGAAATACTATTTGTGGCAGAAGTTTGATTTTCCTTACCCCGTAGTAATGACTGGCCAGAGTGAGGAGGTAGCGTCATTAACATTACAAAGACAAAGTTTGCAAACACCTGAATAATGAGACACTGAACTCCAAAAGCAAGTCTCTATTAACGATCCAGAAACTGACCAATTCAGTGATTTTGTCAAATCAGCGGTGGAAAACTGGGAAACAGAAGCAAAGGAAAAGTCGGAAAAAGCAACTGTCAAACCCCAGTCCGAAAACAATTTGGAAACACCAAATCCACAAATAGTCGAGGGGCAAATTCAAAGAGACGGACCGTTATTGGAAGGTGGCCATGTAAAAGAAGCAGGAAATGCCATTCTCCATGAGAGCCTCGTCACATAATTATGTGAAAGCTGCTGTAGAAGCAGGAGCAGGAGCTATTGTTGTTCTGCAGTTGGTATAGACCCTGGTTATGACTCAGCAATTCAAAGTGACCATGAAAGTGTCATCAGTTTTCACAGATTTAATTCATGTTGAAATTATATCCTTTGTTGTAGCGTTTTCATTAATCCTTATTATTGCATTACTGAATTTGATTGTATGTATTATAAATTGTAAACTTTGCAGTAATTCGATTCCTTCCGTTTCCTTATAAATAAGATGATAAATTATTCTATTAAAGTACCCATAAAAAATCTAATATATGTAATAGTAAATTTAACAGCGCTGAGAGTCACTCTAAATAGACTGAGAAAATTCTGAAGACATACTCTCCAGTAAACATTGCCCTCAGTAGAGACAATTTCAGCAAGTGCAACAACCTCAAATCCAATTTGCTCCCAGGGATTCGCTCCCTGGTCCCCTAAAAAGGAGCTGCCTCTTTGGCCCAAAGACCTCTCAACTGTTGGGGAGCCTCCAGCCCTCAATGATGTCTACTTCTGTTATTCTGCTATTTGAAGTCTTCAACATCATTCTACACTGTCAAGCCATGCACACTGCACCAACCAGCTAAAAAGCAACCTCGGATAGAATTCCTAGTGACATCCACTGCACAAAAAGGCAAATTACTAGCCACTAAACTGACCATTCAATTACATGTAAACCCTACAATCAAAGACAATCATACATCAATCAATGTCGTGAAACAACAAACATGCAAACAAGATAAATTGATATAGTTGAAAAATAAAACGACTTGGCAAATTTCTACTTCAGCATTATTTTAGTCCAAAATACTAACTTTTCTGCTTTAAAAAGCACAAACCATAAACAACACACAGACGGCCCCATCCTTGTGCGCAGGAAAATATTTTCAAATGGCTTAAATTTCTGCCGCTCCTAATGGCCTTTACAAGAGAAACTGGGATTGTCATGGCATTCACTTGAATTTTCAGGGCTGTGCCCTTTTCTTTTCACTATTGCTTCCAAATGAGTACAGTCAACTCTCTCATAACGACCACCTGTCGTAAGCAACCACCTCCTGTAAGCGACCACTTTACAAATAACCATTTTGTTGCTCAGTCAAACACTGTTTCAAAAACTCTCTCGTAAGTGACCACTATGTAAATTTCTTAAACGACTGTGACCACTTTTTGGGCCAGAAATTTGACATATTCTTTTGTTTTCTTTAGTAAGCGACCACCGGGCATAATCACGTATGATTGTAACAAAACCGTTGCTCGAATGTCACAAAAGTTCATTTTTGAATAGGGCTGACCAAGTAAGCTGACATATTTTATAGCAGTTGACCTATCAAAAAGATGTCTGTAATACGATCTGTGGTAAAAAAGTGGATTGTCACATTCATGCATAATGTTACGTACAAAGTTTCATCAGTTCCAAGCACTATTCGAGTTAAACATTATTAGCAGTTCTCTATTTGCCTCATTTTTACTTGTAAGTTTATAACCTTATGTCATTATGTTAATCAGTTCAGTTTGAGCTTATTTTCTTGGGTTTTCCTGTAGATGACCACCTCCTGTAAGCGACCACTTTGTTGTGCACTAAGAGTGGTCGCTAACGAGAGAGTTGACTGTACTTGTATCAATCATCTGATTCCCCAATCCTCCTAACAGAGGAAGGAATGCAGCTTTTTTTGCACTGCTCCTTGTGGCCTTCGTGGTTGTCTGCTAACTTTTCTCAAGAATCAAACTATCATCTGCTGCCATCTTGGATTCCTCTCTGCCTGATGTAGGCATTTCTTCACTACAAGATTGGTGTACTAACCAAACTCCATTGCTGGCTACAATATTGGAGCAATTCTTGGCTGTGGCCACATTTCTCTCATAACCCTGGGCCTGCTCTTAATTGTAAAATTGAGTCATGTTCAGTCTGCCAATGAACAGTCTATCGTAACCATAGGGCAATATCAACATGTGCTTTGTCTCTGGTGGTGCCATATAAAATGGGCAAGGTGATGCCAATTTGCCTCTTTGAATTTCAACTTTCAGTTGACTTGCCCAGCATATGTTGCATTGTTACAGATTTTTCCCTTGGCTGATATTAGTATTTTAAGTTCTGACTTAAATCTTCCTATGGATATTGACTCTATCATTCTGAACGTGTCAACAGATAATTTTGACATAATGCTCACTGTACATTAAACAGCACCTCCCCTAGCCTCCACACAACAGCTATACCTAACATTTGCAGAAGAACTACTGGATTAAAGGGAATGGTTATTAATTGCAATGGCCTTAAGGGCACATCTCATTGTACTGAATTTCAGGCCCTTCTTGATTTTCATATGCCTGAAATTGTCCTTGGCTGCAATTCCAAGCTCAACAAAGCTGTGCCAACCTACTCAGTTTTCCTACCTAGTTACACCGTCTTTAGAAAGGATTGTGACTGTCATGGAGGAGGTGTGACAGTCTGAAATCATTGGGAAGGAACGGTCCATCTTCGCATGTGGGAGTGAAATCATCTGGTCTATAATTAACGTTGGTAGTAGTCGGGCTTTCCACCTAGCATCTTACTATAGGCCACCTTATTCTTCCCAAGAAGTCTTGGAACATTTCTTGGATTCCTTTAATAGTATTTTTGAATCTTCTAACCACCACCCAAATATAGTTGCTGCTGGTGACTTTAATCTAAAAGGTATTAGCCTGCGAAAACATCCGTTTCTCCTCGCTCGGGACGTTTCGCGCGGAGGAACGTCTGCGATTCAGTGGCAAAAATTCCATACTGATGACGCAAATCAATGTTTACATAATAAATCGGGTAGTCATGGGGTTCCAAATACAAATTTGTACAATTTTACGTGTCTTCTGGTCGATTTTGGTAAATTTTTGTGTTCATCTGCCAACGAGCCCCAGCAAAACTCAAATACTTCTTCTAGAGAAGAGTATATTCCACAAATATTGACTGTTTTGCTAGAGATTCTTCGCGTTTACATTTGACCTCTGTGGCCTTTTGTCTTTTGTCTGTCATTCGTAAACAATAGCTAAAACAATGTAACTACTCCGTCGACCAATCAGCGCTTCTGACCGGATTCCGGACAGATTTTACGTCATCAGTATGGAATTTCTGTCGCTGAGTCGCAGACGTTCCTCCTCGCGAAACGTCCCCAGCGACGAAGAGCGAGGAGAAACGGATGTTTTCGCAGGCTAAAAAGGTATCAACTTGTGAACTGTGCTTTCATCAGCAACCAACCAAGCCACCTCGGCTCAACATAATAGACCACTTCCATTTATGGAGGAATTTTCTCTCACCCACCATGTGAAATGCCCTACTCGCCCAGCATTTGAGAAAACCCTGGACCTATTATTTTTATTATATACTCACATTTATTTCCAATGTCTGTCCTGTATCTGGAATTAGTGATCATATGGCAATACTATTTCACATCAATGTTAAAGCATCACGACCTTTAAACTTCCTCACAAGGTTTTTGTTTACAAATGGGCTGATTTTGAAGGCCTAAGGAATTTTTTTTCGGCATATTCAGTCCAGCTGTAATGTTAATAAGTATTTGTTATACCCAAGTTCAGTTATTGCATGGAATCAATTACCTTTATTTATAAGT